CTTGAATGTGCGGGTGGTGGAACGAATAACGGCTCGGAATTGGAAATCGGAGAGCCGTGTTCCATTTCCCGTTATGCTTTCTGTATATTATATAGGTGTGAATCCACCACTTCTCTCCACGTCTATGGGTTAATTAGTAAGCCGTAAATCAGTATTATCTCAAAAGAATTCTTACAGTATAAAAATATTTCCTGGCTTTAAATAACCTCCAAAGGTTTGATAAGCCGTAAAAACGAAATGCTAAATTTTTTCACGACGACGACTCCTTTTTTTTTTTTTTTTTTTGCAAGCCTCTGTACGGCCTTTCTTCGGGGTGATACCGATTTAAAATAAATAATTAAATACAATATTTTAGGACTATGATTTTCAGACAGAGTGATACACCATCGCCGCCCGGGTATTATTGTGCCAGATAAAGACGTCAGGGACTGCCATATTATTGATGGTTGCCATACCAAATGAGAAAAATATAGCAAACAAGGTGATTGAGAAAATTCCAAACTACTCCGATTTTAAGATTGAGATGGCAAGACTATTTAGAATGCAGGAAGGGAATATCAAGGTGATTCCAGTAGTGATTGGAGCATTGGGATCAATCCCAGTAAAACTGTGTGAATTCTTTGACCAGTTGGGGATACCATAGCAACACGGGGTCACCCAGAAATCGACTTATTTATGGCATTGCGCAAATTTTGGATAAAGTGTTTTCTGTCTCAGGCCATTGACAAATCACTTAATGTGTCCGGTGTTTGCAAAAACTTACACCGTGTGACAAAACATAATAATAATTATAAACAATTATTTCATAAAGGACTGTTATTTTTTTCTAATTTTATTTACAATTGTTTTGCATAAAACATAACAACAAAAACAACAACAACAACAATTTTTTTTTCTGTCAGTGGAAAGTGTCATGATGCCATTTCTATCCTTAGGTCCCAGGGCGGGACCCGGAAAGAAATGTGCCAGAAATCAAAGAAAATAAAAATAATAACAATAATAAAAACAATTGATCATGTCTATATTTCTGAGATGAGGTATTATGTACATTATTTACATTATTCGGACTATTGTCCTCATCTTTGTCGCCATATTTATCACAACGTTTCGGCCGTTGTACGCTCCGGCCTTCTTCAGGTGGATGGAATTTCGAACTGAACCCTTTATTTCGCTCACTGGGATAGACTGTTCTAGTTCCACGTGCCATGTTTTAATGGGTGTCAGTTATCAGTTATCTCCTGTTAATTTCCCTCTGAAAGTTCTCCACTGCCTTAACCGGGTATTGAACTCACACTCTTCGGGTCATGTCACTGGATCTAACCAACGCCTTTATCCACTGTGCCATTGAAGAAGGCCGGAGCGTAAAACGGCCGAAACGTTGTGATAAATATGGCGACAAAGATGAGGACAATAGTCCCAATAATGTAAATAATGTACAATTGATCATGTTGTATCAGGTTGCACAGTATTGACACTCACTGAATTTAAAACACGTCATGACAGAGTAGGCTAATATCTGCACTGGAAAATCTGCACGGAATTTCTTTCAGTTTCTACGCAAAGGAAACTGAGAGAAATTGGTATGAACATCACCCAGACCCGTATGAACAGAAACATCAGGACCTGTAACAATTCAATGGGACTTCACAATACACGCCCAGACATCGTTATTAGAGACCGCAAACAAAGAAATTGCCTCCTTATTGATATGCCAGTCCCTGCAGACTGCAATATATCTTTGAAGATCTTCAAAAAGCTATCAAAATACAAGGACCTTGAAATCAAAATCTCAAAAATGTGGCACATGGGAACATCAACAATCCCTGTTGTAGTTGGAGCCCTCGGATTGGTTGGAAAAGATTCCAATAGACTCATTGAAGGGATTCCTGGAGGCCCATGCCTTAGAAAAAATACAAAAAATTGTTATCACGAGTACAGCCCACACTTTACGAAGGGCTTTGTCTATGTAAAATATGTGCGTGTGTTTTTTATTTGGTCAGTGGAAAATGTCATGATGCCATTTTTTACCTTAGATCTCCGGGCGGGACTCGGAAAGAAATGAATACACACCAGAAATCAAAGGAAATAAAATAATAATAATAATAATAATAATAATTACAGTAATAATAATAATAATATTAATGATAATAACAATGATAAGGATAATATTATTATTATTATTATTAATGATAATTACAATAATAATAATATTCTAACCGCCCAGATATTGTTATTAGATATCGCACACAAAAAAGGTGCCTCCTTATTGATATGGCAGTCTCTACAGACTGCAATGTATCTTTGAATATCTTCAAATATCTATTAAAATACAATGACCTTGAAATCGAAATCTCAAAAATGTGGTACATGGGAACATCAACAATCCCTGTTGTAGTTGGAGCCCTAAGATTGGTTGGAAAAGATTCCAGTAGACTCATTAAAGGGATTACTGGAAGTCCATGCCTTAAAGAAATACAAAAAAATTGTTCTGACAAGTACAGCCCACACCTTACAAAGGGCTTTATATATGTATTTTTATTCCAGTGGAAAGTGTCGTGATGCCATTTCTAACCTTAGGTCTCTGGGCGGGACCCGGAAAGAAATGACTATACATCAGAAATCAAAGGGAATAATAATAAAGCTCTAATCGTAAACCAGGCATGGCTCTCATGGCTTCTGATCTTAATTAATTGAACATGTTAACATGTACATGTTTTGTTTTAGTGAATTAAGATGGGCTACAATAAAGAACCTGTTCAATACTACATATTTTATTGTCAGTTGCCCAGCCTTAAGCACTTGGGCGTGTCCCCTTAGGAGTCGATGTACTGTACATCTCTGTTCATGGGCGGAAGTAGTGAGGTAGCATCACAGTTGGGTGTTGAGAGAAATGTGTTTTTGTTTTTAAATATCAAGTTTGAAGGATGAGGCAGTCACAGCTTTTTACATCTAAACACTTAGAAGCAACCTCAATCGGAGAAGTTAGAGCAGTCTGGGTTTCCCAACCTGTGGTAGGTATTTATAACTGGATGCAGGCTTATGCGCAGTTTTTATTCAAACTTGTCAGTATATTGTCTACATTTGGCAGTGATGTATTTGTCTGGTCTGCCTTTATCAGAATGGCCATAATGGAATCGTATATTTGTGCCCCAGGTTCACATTCTCAGGATATAGCTGGCCACTCGTATTCGAGGATAACTGTCTACTAGGGCGGCTAGCCAATCCCTATTTTAGACGCTTGCTTGGGCGCATTTGCGTTTATTCAACACCCACAGAGCCCACCCATACTGCAACTATGCTGAGCAGGCCTTAGTTACAGTTTCTGGGAAAGAGCGTGTTATCTAGCGTGATCAACACTTTGAACAACGCCAACAAGGTTCCAGCCACGATGACTTGTGTGGTTCCGTCACAAGGCTTGGATCAAGCCGTCGTATGGTTTTCAGACACTTTCCATCGACCCTTTCAATCCGATAATATCAGGAAGTCTCCTTCCTGACAAACCGACAGATTCGAACCCTCGTCCCATGGTTAGAATGTTCGCATTCTAACCACTAAGTCCCGTGCCCATTACATTGTCAGGGTACTACTCGTTTAATAAAGCTTTATTTAATCTAAAATTTCAAATTTTGCTTGATCTCATCACTTTATGCGACTAGCAAAATAATTTCTGGTTAATAAATATCTCTATTCTAATGATGGATGGAGACACACAGTGGATAGCGGCCCCGAGTGAGGAATCGGAGAGCTGGGTTCGAATTCCTGTCGGATCTATTACATTCACTTACCCTTGGAATCCATCTCTCCCTCCCTAGATTAGGCTCTATAGCTTTGGTTGGCAACTAGTCTAGGAGAAGGAAAAATCAATTCAAACCAGCCTTGAGAAATCCAATCACCTGCTGTCATGTAGATTCTGCATCTTTAGGTAAAGGCTAAAAGAAGGTAACTTCAAAAACAAATCCACCTCAAAGAAATTCGCCTCAAAGAAAGGAACTGTTTCCCCTCTAATTCGAGCCGCGACAGAAAATAATGGATTCCTCTGGTTTAGTATTACGTTTCGAACACAGACTAATCTGAGACACTGCAAGATGTCGAGGACTTCTCTAATTTCGAAGCATTCGCCCATGGGTATATCACCCACAGCAGTTAAGATGGCGACGATCCTAATGATGAAAAAAAGCATTAAACACGAGAGATGTTTTTAACGTAATATACAGGGTGTCCATAAATTTCGTGTGCTCTTTAAATAATTTATGTATATTTAATTTTGCACACGAACTTTATAGACACACTGTATTATATATATATATATATATATATATATATATATATATATATATATATATGTGTGTGTGTGTGTGTGTGTGTGTGTGTGTGTGTGTGTGTGTGAAAATATATAGAAAATAGGAAAGAACTGGTTAGGTAGATCCAAAGTTCCTTAGTATTTTAGTTATTATTTTTTTTAAAATAGTACTCGATACAAATGTAGAGCGTAAATATAACTATTTATTTAAAAATATGATTCCAACTCGCGACATAAGAGGTCTCATGTTTCAAAACAAGAGCCGAAAACTTCAATATAATTATTTGAATTAAATTGAGTTAAAGAAAGCTCTGTTCCCTCTTCAAGCGAAATTTATTTTAGAATAACTTATTTCAGAAATTTACGTGTTTTAATAATTGAAATCAAAATATCCATGGTAACAGCTAGGACGAATTGTTTAAATTTGGTAGGCGTGTGTTGGGTGTTAATAATAAGTATCAGTATAGAGTTACTTTCTTAGATGTCAAGTCAGGGTATGGTGGGGGTGTTTTAATTTGAAACGGAAGATGTTTTAGCCTCGTCTGGCTTACGTGTCTACGGAGATTTTTTGATTTTTTTATTTTATTTCTTTGTGAAAGGGATTTGTGCATATAAAAACTGCCGTAACTTTTGTTTTTTGACGATCGCGCAGACGAAAGTTTTGCGTCTACGAATTTATTTGTTCTCATGCACTGACATG